TGGGGGGGCCTAGGGAAAAAGACAATGGCAGGGATAGGTAAAACTGTTGAAGGACCTCAAAAGTGATGCAAATAATCAGCCTAGAGATCAGATAACTACCGCTGCCTTGGAGATGACAAAAACAGGTAGCAGTCAAAACTAACAAAATAGCAGGTTAAAGAGATGAAAATATAAAATAAATAAATAGATAAATCTGAGCCACTGTAAAGTATAACATTAATTTTTGGGGAATATTGGATTTATAATTCTATCCCACTTTGATGTTGACAAACCCTGCATTTCAACATAATACTTCAAGCTCAAGAAATGAGCTTTATACCCCTTCTAACCTAGACATTCCTGTCTTAACAGGATATTACTTATTTTGTATTTAGTTATCTCTGGAAGTAATGACAATGAATTTTTTATATTACATTTGTTCACTTTCTGACAGTCGTTACATCAGAAACCTGCCCAGAAGGGACAGAGATATCCAACAGATGAAAAAGTTCAAATTTAATTTAAAGAATCCGATATCGGTTGCATACTAGCCAAGAGGATCTCATTCTGAATAATCTGAATGCCAATATCATGCATTTTTTTCAACATCTTAATACCCTATAGGACAACATGGCATAAGCGTGGAACACATCCCAACAGATAGGAAAACACAGGCTTACTTGTGGCTTGACTTGTTCAAAATATACTGTTAAATAAGGATCCTTACAGCATGGAATACTGAGACAACCATAAAAGGCTGAAGAAAACAAAGTAAACTGTAGAGGAGCTTGAAAGTAATTTTTCCTGCTTCATCAATTATTATGCGGTAATTCAACCCAATCCAAAATGAGGAAGACATGTTTTTATTTTTTGAAACGAAGAAATGCCTTTGCAGAAGTTGCTATTGTGTCCTAATGCATAGGCATAATTCTTTTTGTTTCTGGCTTACCAAATAGACCTTTCCACACTCACCGATCAGCAACTGTACTATATTGGAGCCTGCATATTTCCTCACATCCTCGATCCAGCGAGGAATGGATTGGAAAGAGCCTCTCTTACTAATGTCATAGGCTAGAATAGCTCCATTGGCGCTTCGATAGTAACTCTGGGTTATAGTCCGAAACCTTTCTTGACCAGCCGTGTCCCAGATCTGTAACTAAAGGAAGTAAAAAAGAAGGAAGTCAGTAAGTTCTTCAATCACAAGTTGCTGATTGTACTTATCAGATGATCTTTTCTTATGCATATTGATTGAAAAAAAATCTAAACACAGCGCAAAATAAGTTCACACCCAGTTGAATTACATTATCACTGGATAGCCATAGCCAATATGCCCAATCCATTTGGCAAAGGAAAGTGTAGCAGCAAGTTTAAGAGGGCAATGGTGAATAAGCAGCCATGACTTTCCAACATTACTGACTACCACAATGCAGGAAGGCTAGGGCAATTATAACTGTGATGTACAGAGAGCTGACCTCTGACACACAAGTGCAGTTGTATTTCTTTTTTATATATCACAGAGCTGCTCTTCACAGCTGCAGTACTATTAGAATGCCTGGAAGATACATTTGGTTTCAAAGTTGCCATGTTATGTGTGCACTCCCACAAGCTCTGAAGCACCCCATACCCCTGAAATATACTTTATTCAAGCCATGAATAAAAAGGGCTTAAAAACACTTAAACAAAGGTATTGCTTTAGATTTTTGTAAGATTTACTTTAGGACTGGCCTTGGAAAACACTGCCTTGTGTTTGTATGAACTGAGTGAAATATTTCGACAATGCGGATTGTGTTGAAATAGAATAGGAATCAAGATTAGCAGTAATATGTTTGCCACTAGAGATACTGGATTTGTTATAGCTTGATTTGTATTTTATTGGATTATTATTTCTATTATATTATTAACTTATCTGTATACTATCTAGAGCCTCTGGAATGAATAGTTTATAAAAATAATAAAGCAAATAATAACAACAATAATGATGATGTTGGAAGGGACCTTGGAAGTCATCTAGTCCAACCCCCTGCTCAGGCAAGAAACCCTATATCATTTCAGACAAATGGCTGTCCAGTCTCTTCTTAAAAACTTCCAGTGTTGGAGCATTCACCGCTTCTGGAGGGAGGTTGTTCCACTGGTTAATTGTTCTAACTGTTAGAACTCTAACAGTTAATTGTTCTAACTCCTTATTTCTAGGTTGCTTCTCTCCTTGATTAGTTTCCATCCGTTGGAGACTGTACACATTGATAACCAGTTACATTTAAAGTCTTGCTTAACATTCTTATTAACAACAGCCCATGTAATTATGAATGAGCATAGGTAGTCTTTATTTACTGACTGCAATTGGGACAGTGAAGTTAGCTGTGAGGCAGTCAAACTGCAATCATGTGAACACAGGATACTGTGATGATCACAGATGTCTACTATTTGCGAAGTGCCCAAATGTCATTCACGTGACTAGAGGGATGTTATGATAACCATAAATGTGAGGACTGGTAGTAAAGTTACTTTTTAAGCACCTTTGGAACTTCAAATGGTCATTAAATGCAGTTGTTAAGCAAGATGTACCTGTATACAGACTTGGAAATACCTTAGTTCTGCCAGAAAACAGAATTCGTGAGACTAGAAAAAGTTCAGTCAGATCTTCCAACTTTGCGAGTTCTTTTTTTTTTTTCACGAGAAGTTGGAAGGTCTGAGCTGGGCAATGGTGCACCAAGCTCTATAGCAGCACTGAGAGGAGAAGCGGCAGGAAACAGGGCTGCCATTTTGAGAACGGAGAAGGGAAATGCGGGGTGATAATTCAAAAGCAGAATTCCAAAAGATGAACTTTCCTTCAAAATATATATTCAAGCAGATGTCATGGATATTTCAGTTTGGATTCCTGTTCAGAATAAGGATGGATTCAATAGTTTAAGTGAACCTTTTTAACACTGAGCCTTTCAATATTTTGTTATTAAATCAGCATATTTAAAGGCTACTTCCTTTTAAATATATATTTAATATCTATATATCTTATTACAACATTAGGACAGGAATCAAAGAGAGTTAAGCAATAACTAATTATAAGATATTGCACACATTGTCTTTGGAAAATTTCTTGATTACTTTCAAAAGGCCTGGAAAAGCTTTCTATTTACTTTCCCGTACTGTGAACAGGTTTATAGCCCTCTTTGGTACACTGTGTTATATAATAAAGGAATTGCACAATGTGTTTGTTCAAGTTGATTAAAATCCTAAAACTCCTTGACACACTGCCAATAACTTTTCCAGGTCAAATTACAAAATCCTATGAGATACCTTAGTTCCTCCCCTTTATTTATGTAAATGAGATGTTGTTGATCCAGATGACAATTATTTTAAATATAAGTGTACATTGAATTCATGTTCTCTATAATAACACACGTTTATTGTACTGAGGGCAAATGCTAATACTTTCCTGAAGTGTGCCATTTTAATAAAATCTACCCTTAATAATGAAGGGGGTATATTTAGTGCAGTGATTCTCAACCTTTTTAATGCCGCGACCCCAACCGGTCGTAAGTCGAGGACTACTCAACCGGTTGTAAGTCGAGCACTACTCAACTGGTGCAGCACCATTTGCAGAATGGGACTTTTGGCGGGCTCAGCAGGGCAGAGACAGCCTGGACAATTCCTGTTGGCTTTTGAAAGCCAATAGAATTAGACTCTATTCTATTGGCTTTCAAAAGCCAATAGAATAAAAGGGAGTAGCACAGCTAAGGAAAAGGGGAAAAAATGGCGGACTGCGTTGTTTGGCGACCCCCGTGAAATGGTCGTTCGACCCCAAATGGGGTCCCGACCCACAGGTTGAGAACCACTGATTTAATGTATTCAGATCTAGATGTCTACAATATATACATACCTATAGATATGAAAAAAGGAAGATTTTTTAAAAAATCCAAATTAGCCTGATTTAAAATATTACAAAAAAACTGCCCACCCCCCCATCCCAGTTAATTTTATAGTGCTCCACAGAGCTGGAATGATATACGGTTTCCTGCCCAAGCATGGGGTTGGATTTGAAGACTTCCGAGGTCCCTTCTAACTTTGTTATTCTGTTCTGGAATCATACTTAAACCAGACTGCCCACTTATGCTTTAGCACACAAGCAGGATATTCACATGAGTTACAGGCCATGTCATGACAAAACTACTCACACAGGGATTACAACCTAATTTCTATACAATACCAACCAAATCTTAAAACTTAGGAGATGTGATGCCATCTCCTAAGTAAGTAAAGAAGTTTGTCTCAAAGTTTGTTGTAAGTTTTTATGCTCCAAACCAAGTTCATGAACTATGTATCGACATACTCAAATTACAAAAGAACTAGTAATGTCATATTAATTTCAAACATTACCAAAAAGTTCCTTGGGGAGTTTTATTTTAATAGGTCTGGAAGGTTCTCCAAGAAGCTTAGAGGCTTTTCAAACATTGTTGAGCACCTCCAGAAAGGCAAAGAATATTTAGGCTTTTTTTTTTTTTTTACATGCTGTACCTGATGCTTTTACCTTCTGAACTTAGCAAAAGGGGGGAGGGGACTGAGGGTGGAAGGCAAATTCTACTTCTTTTCATTTTTCAAAAAGGTATCCGAGCGGCAACCATGTAAGCACAAACTCTTCGGCAAATTCTGGCTTGGCGATGAATTCTCGGCCCAGCCACGGATGTCAGCAGATCGACTGGTAAAGACGCTGGGCGCCCTTCGGTCTCCCGGGAAAAGGACGTTGCCATGCCAGCTTCTTCTCCCCCGACCGTAGCTGTTGTTCTGTCTGCACACCTGTTACCTGCCCGGCCCGCGCCTCGAAGGGAGATAAGACGGGACTGCCGCGAGGCTCCTCCCCTCCCTCGCCCCCCGCTGCCCACCTTGACCCGCTTGCCCTGGATCTCCAGGCTCTTCATGGTGAAGTCCACGCCGATGGTGTTGCCCTGGCGCTCAGAGAAGGCCCCGGTCTTGAAGCGCTGCACCAGGCACGTCTTGCCCACGCTGGCATCGCCGATCAGCACCAGCTTGAAGAGGAAGTCGTAGTGCTCCTCTGGGTCCGGCCCGGGCGGCGCCGACGGGGAGCTGGGCATGACCGCGGCGCTGCTCCCACGGCTGCCCGCCGCAGGTCCCCTCGCTCCCGTTTGGCAGCCGCAGCGCCGGCCTCAGCATCCTTCCCCGCCTGCCTTCCCCTACCAGGCCGAGGCAGTGGGCATGCGCGGCGGGAGCCTGCGTCCTTCCTTCCTCCCCCCCCACCCGCCCCCCCACGAGCCAGGCGTCGAGGGTGGGGCAAAGGAGCAGGGCAGGATTCCCCTGGCGCTTAGTGGGAGGGCTTAGTGGAGGAAAGACTTGCCCCTGGCTAGAGGCTGAGCTCGCCCATTACGATGGCCGGATTTCCGTGTTACGTTATCTCTCTGTGGTCGCCCAGAGCAGGAAGCGCGGCTAGAGAAACTCCCTACGCTCACCTGCGTGGTGTAGGCAGTGCACCTTGACCCTTGAATGGCTAAATTCCCTAGAATTGGACGTAATGCTTGTTTTACATGCAATGGTTTACCTGTTGCACACTTTGAACAGTAACGGTTGCCAGAAGAATAGCCGAAGTAAACAAAACTGAGTTCCTTGGAGGCAAAGATAAATATATTTGTCTTTAGGGTGCGGCAAAACAAATTATGTAATCAGTCATAGTGAGGGTGGCCAGTCCAACATGTGTAAAAACTGATGATAAAATAAGTTCTAATACTCTGGATGAGCTCCCTGCAGCACTTGCGGAAGTGAGGAAACGTGCAACCCTGCAACTAATTATTAGATTCACTTAGTCATTTATAATCGATCTTTATTTGCAGTTTTGGAATAAATAAGGAGCACATGCTTTATACAAGCTGTCCCTTTGCGTACAGGGAATACAATAATGCTGAATGCATTTGCGTATTAGTTTTCAGTCATTTTTAGCGAAGCTCTGATACAAAGGTTAGCATTCCACAGGACAGGAGGAACAGGTGGCTGGTTTAGAATGTAAAATATTTTCCAGAGTCACTTGAGTCCTGAGCCAAAATTTGTACCAGAGCTATAAATTTCACAAATTGGAAAAATGTTACATGGTAATATCTGTATTTCTCTATATGCCTCTCCATCACTAAGATGGATAGTTCAATAATTTTATCTTTCTTTACAAGTATGTTTGTTTCCAAAGCTTTAATAAGGGAGTTCGAAGCTAATCCTCTGCAGGCTTGTTGACACTATCAAGGCCTGTGTCTGAGGTTAGACTCTACCTTTGTAAAAGTGTAGTACAGGAGTGGCTAAGACTTGTGGAGTTCAACTCCCATAATTCCCCAATCAGCATTCTGGGAGTTGATCCACAAAACCTTAAGTTGCCAAGGTTGGACAACCCTGGTCTAGTAGTAGTTTCTTCCAGCTTCTCACAGGAGATGCCTGTTGCTTCAGGTTGGTCAGCTGTTCTTTCTGTCACAGATAGGACCTTTGCTAGCATCACAAGATCTGTACTCTATTTGTATTGTATGCTGCTATTGTTTATTGGAGTGCACTCGTCCTCCTCTCAGTATGGAAAACCAGATATGTGTGTCTGTGTATCTGCCTATTTACATATATATGTGCGAATGGCCATATTTGGACTACAAAACTCTGGACTACCACTAGAAAGCAGCCAGGACTTTTCTGTATCTCTTGCATAGCTCTAGTAATAGTTTGGATTTTGAGTGCAAATACAGTATCCATGAGCTTTGAACTTGATTAAAATTTGATTAAAATACTAATTTCAGAAACAGTGCCTAGCCAAGAATGCAAAGTTATCAATAAAAGGGAAAAATACTGATTCCGCTATACAGTGTATTGTGCTGCAAATTATCTTACATTTTCCTTGTAAAATGACAATATCCAAATCTCAAAGCCACATTACTCAACAAGAAATACATCTATGGCTGCCAACCTTTCTTGAGTGGAAAGTTAGGTGTATTTTTTTCTTGTCAGTTTTTATAGGATTATTCTTCAAATTAATCATTATTAATTAAAACAAATTTGCAGTTTTCCCTGGTGTGAACATTTGCCACTATTGTTTATTACAAATGTTTTGCAGTTAACTCTAAAAGTAAACCTGAAGTATAGCTGTAGACATTAATAAATACGTTCACACATTCCATTCAGTGCATGTACCATTTATATGGCCATATAATTATGCCGGTTCCATGCACAGTGTTCATTTTATGCATACTGTCAATAAACTATTGACTTGTATGTTATGTAAGATTAGTGATTACAAATGTATAAGCTCTCTTCAAGCTTTATAAAATTGACATAAGAAAAACAATGGGCTTGGGCGTGGCTTCTCAATCCTTGAGAGTTTGGTTAGTATGATTTGTAATACTGTAGTTGAATGAAATGAAAACCGTCCAAGGAATTGTGATCTTAATAATATATGAACATCTCCAAAGGAAAGTCAGAAATGGGTATGTGAGTGTGTAAAATCTAGATCAGTGATGGCAAACCTTTTAGAGACCGAGTGCTCAAACTGCAACCCAAAACCTACTTATGCCTCGTTGGGTGCTGGGTGGGTGTGGCCAATTGGAAGGGCATGGCTCATTGGGTGGGCGTGGCTGCAGTGGTAACAGCAGACTGGGTGGGACTAAAAAGTTCAATCAATTCCAACTCCGCAAGATCTTTTTTTTCCCGCGAGAAGTTGAAATTGACTGATTGATTGAACCTTTTTTTTTTTGCACACGGCAGCAGAGGCCTAAAGCGAAAAGGTTTTATAAAACCCAGCTGAAGGCCTAGGACTGGGGCAATGGCTCGCATGCCCACAGAGACTTGTGCCATAGGTTCGCCACCACTGATCTAGACCATCTGCTCTATATATTTAAAATATGGATTAGGGACTATTTAACATTCTAAAATGTTAAGTATTGAATGAAAATAGGAATGAGTACAGTATGTATATTTATATTGGGATTTTGAAGTAATAGCCAATATCCTTTTGATTACTGAAGACATACCTGTATTTGACAGAATATTGTGATTTTTGTATTGCAGCTACAGTTCCCAAAGGGCTGATAAATGTTGCCTTTTAGACTTCATATTTTATATACACAGAATTTGTCATTCTCTGGAGAATATGCAAAAAAATGCCCATATTTCCTGAAGTATTTCATTTTCAAATATTAAGTGCTTTGAGCCTATATTTTAAAAAGGACTTAAAATACAAAAGAAAATGAAGCACAGTTAAATGGATTTTAGTTGGATTGAAAAAAATATATTGAAAACCAGTAGATCATTAGTTTTATCTTTTTGAATAAAGCAGACCTATATGCCTCTCTGTGACCTCATCATAACATTTAATAGGGTTGTATTGTACTAATAAATGAAGTATTCTATAATTTAACTAAGATTTTTCTCCCAAGCAGTGCAGTCTGTTGCCTTTCTTTATTTCCCTGAAGCCTTGCCAAGCATATTAATTTTTCCTCATCCATTATCTGCCTGTATCACATACCCCAAAGATGTGAATTTCTGATTGCTGATTATTGTCTCAAGGGAGCAGTTTTATTTAGTTTAGGGCTGATTGATTTTTTCCCCTTTCTATCTATTAGTATTAGCATTCTATCTATTAACTATTAGCATTCCTAATGGCTGTCCCCAAATTTATAATTTGAACACATGTATCTTCTGTCTCTCACTCTTACTCAATATCCAAGTTTTACAGCCATTGCTTTAACTGGAAAGTCCATTGGCTTAATTCTTCTTCCTTTTTTTTTTTGATCATTGAAATGCCATTCTACTTAAACTCTAAATTAATCACAGGCATTTTTCATCTTTCTCAACTCCAGCAGTTATTTTCACCCAGTGAAAAGAAATAATATACTCCTCCTTTACCTTATATTGCATTGCCCCTGTCAAGAGCACAGCTGTGGTATGATAGTCGCATGACTATGTAGTTAAGTGAAAAGAGAAGTGTTTTTCAGTCCTAGTGATTTAAGGCACCATTTTCTGAACTATATTTTCTAAATATGATTGGCATATATTATTTTTCCAGATGCATTGCCACATGGCATTGTTTTAATTTGCATTATGTTATGTGGTTTATATTGTATGCTGTCCAGAATCAAGAAGGAGTTGGGAAGCCAATAAATTTAACTTATAATTATAGTCAAAGAAGGCCTGGAACTGTTTTGGTTACTTGATTAGGGAGTTCTGTTTTGCATATGTTAATCCATCTTTGTTTTATTTCACACTCTTCAGGATTAAGCCCTGGTTTTGATAGTACATTGAAACATTTATTCTTGGCACAAATTAAACTGCAGTTGGCCTAGTAGTATAATTTGCTAAACTAAGGAATCTGTCTCAGGTAAAACACTGAACTATTAAGCAATTAATTTAATATCATTGTATTTTATTGCAGTGAGAAGTACTAATAAGACTATTAGATTCTGAAGCAAAAAAACAAAAACAAAAAAATTGACTTACTATTGCAGGACTGAGTGACTGCCACTCTAATTGTGTAGAAGCATTTAATGAAAAAGTTGAGCTTTAGTACAGAGAGTTGATCCATCATTGATTTGTTATGAAAGTATACCATAAATAATAACATGTATCTCCTATTTGGAATAGATTGTTCATCAAAGTTCTTACCCTAACATCTTGTATTGTTGCTATAGTTTTTCAATAAAATAAGTGTCAGATACTAATAACAGATTTCCTGAAAATGATGTTCTCAATTATTTTTATGCTTTCTCTCATTTGTTGTTTCACAAAATGAGGGAACGAGATTCTTTTAGTTCTAAAAGCGCATAGTGTATTTCTATAATATACATTTTGTGAGCAGCTGTTTTAAAATGTATGAATGCTAAACAGTTTTCATATTTTTATGTAAAGTGGTGTTGCCAGCTGGGAGACAGAAACAAAACTTTTGACAAGTAAGCTCTGCTGTGGATTTGTTTATCTGTTTTTGCATTTATATAGTTCTCTGGGTTAATATAGCTCTCCTTTGCAGGTGCAAAAAGCTACATGAGTAACTATATAAGAAGCTATGCAATTTGAGCACAATACTATAATTTGCATGTATAATAAAATAGAGCTGAAACAAAAAAAAATGTTGCCTTCTCTAAGCCATTAGTTACCCTGTATTACTGTATATGTTAACTATCCATTGTGGCTTTTTAAAAGTTCTTTTTGGACTAACTTTAGAAAATGTCTAAAATAATTAATAAAAAAAACATAATT